TTGAGATAGAGGTTCAAAAGGTTATTTAGGAAGAAGTCTTTCTCCCACTAGGAATTGGATTCCTTCTAAGTATGCCTTATCTAATTTACCCAGCTTGATCATTAGGATATTTTAGGAAATCTGTATAGTGAAAGAGATTAAATTTGAGTCATTCATCGCCCAAATCAGCATCATGATTTTGGGTGGAAATTAAGAAACGTATCCTTTTATAATTTGACCCATGTCCAACTTCTATTTAAATTTGAGTTATAACCACTTTTAGTATCTAGATCTTTCAAAATCTATAAAAAGTTAAAGATAATCTATTTATTTTGGTCAAAAACAAGAAACTCCCACTTTAATAGGGAAAAAATCTATTTAATTTTAAAAGATTCCCTAACTAATTAACATTCAACTAAAAGTGGCACTTAAAACAAAATACGTGGGGATGTGCCACCCTATGGACTGCCCCACAAGGTCACACGTCCTACACATAGGTGGCACACACATGGTGGGGGACTGGATCCTAGGTCCCCACATGTGTCTTTCCTTGTTCTAAAAATTTTGAAACTACCCTTTTTAATGAATTTACAACAGAAATAAATTTTTAAAATTTTGAAAAATTGTAAAAATGACAAAAACATTTTTAATGCAAAAAATAAAATATTTAGAAGTGGACTGGTACTAATGGGTCAAAATTAGCGACAATAAGGGCTCTCCATTTGACCCAAGACTTATGATCTACTACTGTTTTCTCACCCAACCTGACAAAGACTCATGACCCACAGTCTCAATGTAGGAGCTCATGATTAGCTTGTCAATGTTGGTCAATAAACAGTAGAATCATGATCTTGGTATGTGGATTTCAATCCCCTCCTTTAAGAGTAAGTCCAGCCAGCATTATCACTATAGTGTAAAATGGGCTCTCATAACACATATGTACACGTGTCCATCTATAGAACTGCTTCCCAGTAATGCTGATGTTACGAGTACATGCTATGCGAAAGTTTGTTGAGGCTTTTAGCTTTTGTTCTCACAGGCCTACAATTGCACACATGAGACCACACAATTCTCTTGGCCTACAAACATCATCTTTGGGCATCTTTCCGACCTCAACAAGGGATGACTCACTATAAACCCTTCTCGATAGTACTACATGCCCAGGGGTAAGCTTTTTGAACATAACCAGGGGCCATAAGCCGCCCAACCCATGGTCAGTTAATACACACACTCCCACTGAAGTCCATATTCCACTATAAAGTATTATTTTTGCAAGGTCTCTAGACCTTTAAAGGCCACAAAACCCAACAAAAAAATGGCCATAAAATATGAGCATGGTCGAGATTGAAAATAGGCCTCTTAGCCACAAGGTATGAAATATCCTTATGAAGTTCCAAAATTCAAGATACGTACAATCACATATGCATGAGGCTTGTGCAAAACCAATGGGGTCTATCTCGAGTCCAAATTTGATTTTGTACATGTCTTTCAATTTCTGGTCTAAGAAGGGTGATGACTATAAACTTTTCCTTAACCCATTCCATACCCGTGTAAAGGGGCATGGTTGTGTTAGGTAGGCAGCCAACGTAAAATTTTGATAAAACTCATCATGAATCCTGTTAGGAGGTGAGAATGCTACGATGAGGATGTTGAGATGGATAACAAACAATATACCCATATAATGAGTGTAGCAAAGATGAGGATGCTGAGATGGATGAGTGGCAAGACAAGAAGGGATAGAATTCCAAATAAATCTATTCGAGAGAATTTAAGCATGACACCAATAGGTGATAAAATGAGAGAGAGTAGACTTAGGTGGGTTGATCATGTGTGGCGCCGACCAAGTACAACACTTGTTATGAGGTGCGGGTTAGTTCAAGTGGAAGGATTGAAAAGGGTAAGAGGTAGGCCCAAAAGGACCAGGTTGGAAGTAGTTCGTAAAGATATGGGGATTTATGTCCTCTCTGAGGATATGGCCTTTAATAGAGTAGAATGGAGAACCAGGATTCATGTAGCCGGTCCCAATTAATTGGAAAAAGGCTAAAATGATGATGATGATGACATAACTTTCAATTTCTAAAACATTTTCTAGGCTAGCAGACAATAATAAAAAATTAAGAGAACACACAAACCTTATGCTCCCTTGATCCCAAACTTCTAAATGATGCTAGAATGCTCAAAATGAACTAGATCCACTACTGGTTCAACTTGATGGAGCTTTTGAGAAGCGGTTTGTTTTTAAAAACCCAAAAACAAGGTGAAACCCTTGTTTCCTTCATAAAAAATTTGATTAGATATCAAAGCCCTTCATTATGTATGTCAAAAAACGTACCTTGATATGCCGATGCAAAGCCCTCAACCAATATAGGTCTGTAAGGTGGTTGAGCAGGTGACATAAGCCGTTTGTAGTGACAACATCAGCCCTATATTCTAAATAATAAAATTTTGTTGTTGAAGGCTTGTGCATAAGATGACTCAATAAGTTGCTCAATGAGCCTAATAAAATCACCGGATCTGCTCACTTGATGCATAGATTTGACAACAAGATATATATTTAAGGAAGTGGAAATTGTTCAATGTCATATCATTGCTGATCCTAACAGATTTTTTGATGAGAAAGGTTTGAACTAGTGCTCACCTATATAGCAACGTTGAGGGAGAGAAACAATACAAAAATGGAAAAGAAATGGAAAAACTACATTCCAACCATTTTATTACATTGTGTACTGAAGTCTTTATATGGGCCCATAGGACATAAGTATATTTATAGGGACCAACATGCCCTTTATGGGTCACATCTATTGACATATACTCTAGAACTAGGATACAGACATAGAGAAGTAGCCCTGAACCTTATGAATTCACACTGCTATAGTGTGCTACTATATAAAACTGTAATGTAGGGCATCACTTCGCTCTTAGATGCTTAACAAAGAGAACCTTTGATGAATTTATTCAAAAAAAAAAAAGAGAACCTTTGATGAACAATGCAGCTGCACTTTGAATTTTAGCAGCAAATCCTGTCATTGGTCATCATATGACATGCTACTTGAATAATATATGTGAAAAGCAATAAGTTGAATAATAGGTCTACTCACTTGCAATTATGTGTCATCATCATCATCATAGCCTTTTCCTAATTAATTGGAGTCGGCTACACGAATCCTAGTTCGCCATTCTGCTCTTTGCGGACTACTTCTAACCACGTCTTTTTGGGTCTATCCCTTGTCCTTTTCAGTCCTTCTACTTGAATTAACTCGCACCTCCTAATAGGTGTTGGACTTAGTCGGCGCCACACATGGCAGCCCACTAAGTCTACTCTCTCTCATCTTATCGCCTATTGGTGCCACTCTTAAATTCTTTTGAATGGATTCATTTCAAATTCTTCCGTCTTGTGTTGCCACTTATCCATCTCAACATCCGCATCTCCGCTACACTTATTTTATGGGTATATTGCTTTTTGTCAGCCCCATAAAGCAACGATGGTCTCACAGATGTCCTATGGAACTTTCTCTTTATCTTCATTGGTATGCAGCAATCACATAAAATTCCAACACATCTCCACTTCGCCCACCCCGATCTAACTCTGTGTGTGATATTTTCCTTAATCTTTCAATTTTCCTGGATTATGGACCCAAGATATTGAAAGTGCGGTCTTTTTTGTACTTCTTAGTTGTCAATCTTAACTACTTCCTCGTCTCTACTCCTATTATTACTAAATTGCATTCCATATACTCTTGTCTTAGTCCAACTAATTTTGAAACCTTTGAATTCTAGAGCATCTCTCTAAAGTTTTAACTTTGTGTTGACTTTGTTTCGGGTCTCATTGATGAAAACTATGTCATCTGCAAACAACATGCACCACGGTACCTCATCTTGTAGGTGCCTAGTTAAGTCGTCCATAACTAAGACAAAGAAGTACGGGCTCAATGCTGACCCTTGAAGTAGACCTATTGTCACTGAAAACTCACTCGTCTCTCTGCAAGTTGTTCGTACACTAGTTAGCACTCCATCGTACATATATCTCATCAAGTCGATATAGTGTTCAGAGACTCTTTTCTTTCCAACACCCACCAAATCAAATCTCGAGGTATTCTATCATAAGCTTTCTTTAGATCAATAAAGACCATGTGGACGTCTTTTCCTTCACCCTAAACTTCTCAATTAGTTGCCTAAGTAGGAAAATATCCTCCATTGTAGCCAAATTGGTTTTTAGATACACTCGTTTCATGGCTTAGTCGTTGCTCAATCACTCTGTCCTAAAGCTTTATAGTATGGCTCATAAGCTTGATCTCTTGATAGTTCGCACAATTCTGTATGTTTTCTTTGTTCTTGTAAATAGGTATCACCAGACTTTCCCTCCATTCATCTGGCATTTTCTTTGTTCTCAACACCTTGTTGAACAACTTCGTCAGCCAGTTGATGCCAATCTCCCCCATGCACTTCCAAGCTTCTATCGGATATTTGCCTTAAAAAAATTTCTCTATCTAATGCTCTTGGGTTTTTCTTTAGCTGAAAAATAAATTTTCTCCTTACGAACTAGTGGCCAAGAATAAATGTTTAGGTTTGTTACAGGGGACTCCTTATACTCGCTATTTTCTACTAAAATGTGCATGGAATTGATAGAACCTTGGTATCTTCTATACAATTTTCAGAAATTGAAGTAGTTGCAATTTCCATTAATTGTCAAAGAATTGGTTCCTGGAATTTGGTAAGTCAGACATTTGGATGTGTAAGAATGAGTTTCTTGGGAAGCTTCAGACTCCAGAAGGGCTCCTAAGCTATCTAATTGAAGACACTGGTTGCTCATGATATCCTTGGATGGTTTGGAAATTATGTCGTACTAAGTGAAAACCATGTTTGGCTGTTAGTTCATGTCTTCGATAAGATAAACATGATCTGACTCGAAATATTCTCTTGTTGCTTTTACTTGTCATATACAAAATGAATGTGTTGGTTTTGATTATTCTTTTGTTATAGAAACTGAGTTGTCAAGGTTACTTGTATTTCACTTTACATAGGAAGAGGATCTTTTCATTATGGCATTTGGTCTACCACTGAAAGGAGAAGGTGACAAAAAGTGTTTGTCCATGTTGAGTGCAGTGGAAGAAACAATTGCTCGCCAACTCCGTGCCTGTAAAAACCCAACGAAGAAGAAGGTTCTTGGTGGTAGCTTCTTGTCCTCCATGTTCTCATCTAATGCTTTTGCCAAATTCTTGTAGGTTTTGCCTTTAATCTTATTTAACAGTCAGACTGGCATTTGTGTGGCTATTTGTTCATCAGTTTTATATTCCTATATTTGATATGTGTACCTTGGTGAACTGCTAGCAATAAAGTTTTGGTACTTACAAACATTGTAAAATAACATATGGTGAAACACCAATAGAATATACAGTATATATATGTATTCTGGAAATTTAAAGTTTAAGGCTCAAGTGATATTGGCTCAAGCATATGCGACTAGAGAGTATAAGCACGTTGGCACTTGATTAGATAAGCAGTGCTTTCATATTGTCTTGTTACTAGGTGTGCCTTAAAAGCACCATTTGCATGTGTTGTGTGTGTCCGCGTGGGCACTAAATTAGAATGTAGTTCTTGTTTCTTAAGATTAGTAAATTATACTTGAGATGAAAATGTAATTCAAGTTACATGGACATACAAACTTAAATTTAAGGGAAAGAAGGGGGTAAGGGAATGGGAACAAGGGATAAGAAAGGATAAGAACTGGGTCAGCAAGGCCACATGCAGTCTTCATCAGTAGGCTTAATGGTCACCAAAGAGTGTTCCAAGAGTCCTTACGAGTTAGAGACTCTGCCTCTGTTTCATCTCTCAGCATATGCAGGAAAAAATGACCTGCATCCTTTCGATAAATGCAATCACCTTCTCTATAATAGCATTGAACCTCCACTGTTGTTTGGATTCACCTCTGGTGCACCTAAAACACCAGGAGAATCTTTTATAATACGAGGGAACTACCATACTCTAGTGGTAAAGTCTGATACCCATGAGATGCACTTGAATCATATCCTTAGTAGAATTGTGAACTCCAGTTGTCATGTTGAAGGTAAATCACTCTCATATAATAGAAGGCCATCCCACTGGTGAGGGCCCAAAGTGTAAACACAGAGTGCCTTCAAGATTGTGCTTCCAGGACAATATCTTTTTTTTCTCTGTAATGTATAGTTATAGGAGCAACATTGGAGGAAACTAACTCAATAATGAGTCAACCAATACTATGGGTCTCATAATCGTTAGTTTGCCAGTCTCTAGATCAAGTCTTGTGCTCTAAATTTCTTAAGGTCAGTGCCATGCAAACATCACGTCAAGAGCACACTCTGAGATACCAGAATTCCTATCTGCTCTTGCCTCTACTGATCCCATCGACTTATTCAATCAAACTCCAGAAAATGTGCCAATTGCCAATTGGCACATTTTCTAAAGCAGTATTTCCTTTTATGTTTCATCGATTCAGATCAAGAATCCATCAGGCTGGCAATGAAGCAACATAATGCACTCAATTCCAAACAACTCAAGGAAGAAGAGCCAGATGGCCCTCGCAAAATGCATCTATAAAGCAGATGGCCCTAGAAAGAAATGCCACAGTAAGCATATACCTGAAGATTTAATTTCTAAGTGTGTTTTTATGATTGCCTTTGGCAACTTACAACGAATGACCAGCCACTGGAAGACGTACGCTTTGTGAGAAGGTAGTGGTCCATGCTCAAGTCTAGACCAAAGTCGACCATCCTAATCCCTTTGTAGGGCCGATGCTCATTGGAAACCAACCAGTGTCATCCCAAATCAATACTATCTTGTGGATCCAAAGGCAATAACATCTGCCTCCATTGGAAGCTTTTGATGTTCACTATTATTTGTGTAAAGTATTATCAATTGTACACTATTCGACCATGTATCTTTATTACAAGGAGGTCACAATTGCTCCTAGCCATTAGATGTCAAATTAAATGGCTTAGGGTGTGTCATGAAGTTTGAGATTTTTTTTTTTTTTGTTTGAACTTTGAGTCTAGTCAATTACACTCTTGCAACCACCCAATTTGAAATCTAACGGACAAAGCAAAAGTAAATGGTCTCTTTATATATTAATCCAAAGTATTAGACAATTAGTTACATACATATGAGTGAGATCATTCATCTAATTTCCCTTATCTATTTTTGAATAATTACACTTCTTTATATCCTATATCATTTGGATTTCTACAACTATTCCTTGGGAAACATAAGTCTAAGAGTATATTAAAAGTCAGTACATATTATTTGTGAGCCGATAATTTAAATTTATCATGGCATTTTGGCAAAGCATCACATCCAGCAGACAATAACACTTCACTTCATTCATGCAGATATGGAGCCATTACAATCTAATCCTGATTTAGAAGAAGGTTATTGCAAAGCTCTATTATCTCGTATACGCTTCCGTAAGGTCTTTCTCAATGTTTTCTTTGCCTTTTTTTTTTTTCTTTTGATTTTTATAAGTTTTGCTTGTGGGAGATCAAATATTTCTGCACTTTTGGGTGTTGTGGCATTTCTTATTGGTTGCACAAACATAAATTTGTATCGCAGGCGAATGCATGTCTGGACATGCGTTCACACAAGAGACTATGTTTCCAAATGTAATCATTATTATTTGTTTAATGTTTTAGCTTTATGTGGACCATATTGAAGTTTATGCATTTTTTGTTACCCACATGAATGTTGTCACCAGACCACTTGAAATTTTCTCCTGGGAGTGGTATTTGGATGTCAAATAACACTGTCTTCGTAAAGGGTTCTCAAATGCTGGGCAGGATGTCCAATGAAAGAAGATCCACAATTGGATATTGTACAATGTTTGGTGGAAACCTTGGTACATGGCAAACCAAAAATGAAACATGCTGTCAGGATCAAGTGCAGAGGTCAACTATATGACTATGGCTTCTATGGTACATGAATTGATATGATTCTAACAGCTGCTTAAATACATCAATATTATTTTCGACTCTTTGATGGAATCCTGAGATGATGTCTTGACATCTCTTGACCTTTATTTTCTTGTAGATTCTTTGTACTTCTATTTTAGAAATAATGAAATTTTTTTGTTAATGATAAAAACAATTAGCATCAAAGATATGTTGATATAAATTTCCTTCTCACTAGTTAAAGGTCATGGTTAAAATAGTGAGGACCCATAAATAAAGATTAAACTAGCTCAAAATATTTTGGTAAACCTGGATCACCTTGGTTCCTGCCTTGGGCCTTTTCATAAGAAAAGTATTTCTTTGACTTCTATTACCTAAGAACTCCTAGCAGCCACTTAGACGTCTGCTGCGAAACAGAACATGAGAACATTTTCCCTTTGTAGCTATTGGTCTTAGTCTTACTTGTCGGTGCATAGTTATGCAAGATGAGTTAGATGCTCTTGAAAGTTTGATACTCTTGAAAGAACCATGTGTGAGATCTTGTTCTCTTGACTGCCTATAAAACCACTTACTGGTCACAAATGGGATCTAACCAGTCGATTCAAAATCTAATGGCTCATTATACTGATATGAGGCTCATCTTGTGGCATAAGGTTGTAAGGAGTCCATGATTAACACTGGAGAAACCAGTTTTCGAGTCACAAAAAGGATGACTGCCAAAACTTGAAGGAAGCAGTTGCCTTAGGCTGTTGGACCTTGACTGAAATAGATGTCAAGATTGCATATTATTCCATGAGGATTTAATGGAACAATCTTTTTAAAATGAAATAGATCTAATGGAAGAAGCATTCATGTCAATTGAAAGAACACAATGCTCATGATCTCTTCTTGGTTTTTAAACTCATAGAATCTCTCTATGGTCTTAAACACACTCTTAGATCTTAATATGAGGGACTTTGGAAGACTGATTCAGGAGTGATTTGTTCAAGTGGTCATGATCTTTCCATCCTTGTCTATTGAAGCTGCATTGTTGTTTTTATCCCCTCTTTCTTCTTGATGATCCGGAGATGTTGCAACTTTTGTTCAGCACTTAAAGTCAGTTGCGATTTCAATTTGATGAAAGGATTGGTTGAGGTGTCGTACTTGTTAGTTCGTGAAGTTGCAACAACTAATCTGGTGACTTAAATTAGTTGAACATTTTAACTGATAATAAAAAGGTTGACACTCTAATGGCACCAAATTTTATCAATTGATTTTATGTTACTAAGAAGTTGGTTCAGTTGTGTACCTAAATCCAAAACTGTCAAGCTACGACATGTTTGTTTTGTGAACCAAATGACATCTTGTCCCCGATAACCTCAACTTATAAGTTACAACAGTTGATCGAATAGTTTGGTATGTGTAATATACTGCAGTCCAGGGCTTGTTTCTTTCGTATACTTTGGATATTAGTCATATTATTGCTTTCCTTAATGCTCACTGGACTGGATGCCCTTATGGCAGATTATCTACCATATAATATTGAATTTTTCTTGGGTCTTTTTGGAACTTGATGGAAGAGTAAAAACTCCTTTGCAGTTCCTAAACAAGTTTGAAGCATATTTCGAGGTTTGACATGCAGCTGGTTCCAGCATTTGTATACCATCCACATAATTCACTTTCCATTTATTTCTCTTGGATATTTGGTCTTCTCTATATTTTCCTTGTGTACTTCAGTAAATGAACAAACATACCCAACATAGGTCGCGATCCTGCTTTGTAATCTCGCACCGGCGCTCCAGGAAAGGGATCTTCAATGGATCGCATTTTTTAAATTTGGGGATCTCGATCCCCACTGTTGGGGATCTCGATTCCTACTGATAGAGATCTCAATCCCAACCTTAAAGGCCAAGAGAACAACCAAACTGATGATTTTCTTTATTTATTGCCAGCTAGTAACACAACTATACTTTTATGTAGTTGTGTTGCTTGCTATGAGTAAGGAGATCCCTACTTTAAAGAATATATACAATCCTAAATTACCATAAACTTTAAGTTTAGGAGCAAGTTCCCCAAAAGATTGAGATCTCGATCCCTAATATTTGAGGATCTCGATCCCTAACATTGTACAGACGGTGCTTCCACCCATAGGGATCTTCTAGCATTTCACAATCCCCCCCTCCTGATCCCGATCCCAATCTTGATACCATTCCCGCCCCTCAATACGAAAAATTAGCGTTGTACAATAAAAATAAAAGGTAAGGGGATGGGGGGGGAGAGAGAAGTAGATAGGGCCCATGAGGAGTATCTTTTTTCTTTTTCTTTTTCTTTTTTTGGAGACAGGTGACAATATATTACTAAAATATCATAGGGTATGAAAAATGCCCACGAGGAGTGAGATGTTAGGGCAGCCCATCAACCGGGTGCTCCTTTACGAAAAGAAGACAAGATAGAATAAAAAATAGAAAAGTAAGAAGACAGAAAGGAGGGAAAAGAAGAGACAAGAGGGGGGAGGGGAGAAACGGGGATATGGGATTGGCCAGAGGAGCAAGTTAGGAGAAGATGGAGGAAGGGGAAGTGAGTACATAGAGGGACGAGAGAGAAAGAGCAGAGTGAGAAGTAAGAATTGAATTGAGAGGAGAATGGTTTGTGTGTGGGATGGAGAGATGTAAAGCTTATAGTCAAGCCTGTTAAGAAGTAGGCACAATACAAAAAATAAGGGTTGTACAATAAAAATAAAAGGTAAGGGGATGAGGGGGGAGAGAGAAGTAGATAGGGCCCATGAGGGTTCAAAGAATGAAGAAGAGAGATAGGGAGAGGTGATCCATTGACCTGGTGCTCAAAGATTTATCTATTTATTATTTTTTTAAGGGTTGGGAGAAGGTGGGGGCAACCCACAGGCTGGATGTCCAACAGGAAAATGAGCATCACAGAGAAGGGCAGCTCTAGTCCACCTGCTAAAAAAGTAGTAGTAGAAAGGAGAGAAAAAAAGGGGGTGGGAGGAGTAGAGGCGAGAGAGAGGGAGAGAAGTAGAGCATATTTGTCAAAAAAGAGAGATGGGGTCCCCAACAAGGAGGCTTTGTTACTTTGCTAAAGAAAAGAGAGATGGGGTCCCTAGTAAGGAGGCTTGTTCCTTTGCTAAAGAACCTGCGTTGTTGTTAGCCTTCCACCAAGTATGATGTAAGCTGACTCAAAGAGGACTGCAAAAATGAAAGATGCGGTAAAAAATGGCGGCAAGAAGCCATGGGGACTAGCATATCCTAGCAGCTCACCGAATAAGATTTAGCATTGTCCCATTCCACAATAAGTTCATCCTCTCAAGAGGGGTCAAATCTAGAAAGACCTTTGATTAGAGCATTGCCTCCACGCAGGCGGAATCACCATACCACTTAAACCAGGGTTGCCCAAGAAGCGCGCATCGAAGTTGAGTTTGATAGTCCCCTTGGGAGTGGGGGATGCCAATAGGATGAGAGTGAGAGTTTGTATGGGCAGAAACTAATGATGTAACCCAGTGCAAAATGAAGTCTGACTTGGAGAAAGATTTGAGCGGTTTGTAGCTCGAAACAGTGTTTTAAAATGCGGGTGGCTCTGATGCGGTGGAGGGCCGATGCGGCTCAATGCGGCCCGGATGCGGGTGCATCGCGATGATGTGGTCAATAAATGTAAAAAAATTCTAAAAAATGTAAAAAAAAAAGTTAATGCATAGAAAAAAATATGAAGGTGATATATGTGATAGTAAGTATTTTAGTTTAATGATTAACTTCAAAACTATTAGTTGTTAGAGATTATGTATCCAGTTATCCACTATCCCCTGATAGAAACTAAAAACTTGAAACCAGCTTCATAAAGCATTCAACAATCAACAACCATCAGCACAAATTTGCACCATAAGCACAACTATAATTAAGCACAACCATAAGTACAACCATAAGCACAAAATAATGATATTACAAAATACAAATCAAAAGTCAAGCTCAAGAAGAGTTAATAGTTAGTAAATAATAACTTAATACAATCATCCATTTTTAGAGTCAATTTTGAAATTTGAACTTCAATTTTTCAAATATCAATCAGACAAGTCATTTTGAGAATCGTCATGCGCATCATCAATATCATCCTCGACGGCCTCCATGTATTCTTCTTCATCGGTCTCCTCTGAGTCAGCTTCCTCCTCGACCTTTGAAGCTAATGTGCAAGTACGACTAGACCCAGCAGCTCCTCTACTCCTTTGTGCTCTAGTGTTAGGTCGATCTTCTTTCATTAGCCCCTGTTGCTAGCTCGACATCAAGCCATGTAAGATCCTCACCCTCAAACATACGCTCTTGTCTTGGATCCATGGTCTACTCACTTATGGAATCACCATCAGCTTCATATAATTGACTACGGTTGAGCTTCGTGCGATTTTCATACCTCTCCCTAAGCCGCTCGTTATACCGCACATAAACCAAATCATTCAACTTTTTCTGCTCCAACCTATTTCTTTGTTTTGTATGGAGTTGTGGTAGAAATTTGAAATCAGATAAATTAGAATTTAGATTAGAAAATT